GTTTAAGCAAGCGAATGAGCCAATTGGAGTAAAGTGCCATGCAGATTTAAATTTTTTCCACTTGTGACGAATACAGCTATTGATTTTTTTGCATGCTAGCATGCTAGTTAACATTCGTGCCAGTCAGCTGTTGGCTCTCACGCTGGCCAATAGAATCCTCCTGCCTGTTCGTGGCAGCCAGCTATTGGCTTTCACACTGGCAGGTACAAAATGGCTGCAAACTACATGAAAAATGCCGTGGAAGCATGAAAAAATCGATTATTTCCACTTTTGATGGGAGTTGGGAAATCCAAAGTCGGTCTTAGCCTTCCCGCTAACTTGGAGCATGTGCATGTAAATTTTGGTGCAAATCCATTGAAAATTGCAGCTGTGCATTCGTTACACACACACACATACACACACACACACACACACATCCTGCCTTTTATTTATATATATATATATATATATATTCTGCTTGTTACTAGCAGTGAACTCCATAAATGATATATATATATATATTTAATTACTCTTTCAGTCCTGTAATTATGGGTTTATCTAATATAATATCGATCTATTCATGGAAATGTATTTTGTGTTTATTTTTAATGAATAAAATGTTTCTCTGTTATTATAATGGTGTTTCACCTACAATTTATAACATATGTTCAGGCAACAAATTTATTATAATTTTCATTTCAATGAATAATTATATCTTCAGTTCAAGTTTGGATCTAATGTTTATTGTAATGGAGAATGCCTGTTATGTTATTTTTTCAGCAGTATGGAAATATTTTACATAATATATATCCAGGTAAGATGAGAACGAATAGGGTACAATTTCAGTGTTCAAAACTAAGAGCAATATTATTTATTTTAAGATATTACACCAAAAACATATCAAAAGCACTACACCGTTGCAGTTGTGTTTCAATGCATCTCATCAGGCAATTATAAATTAATAGCCAGTAATTTGCAATCACCTGATGAGATGCATTGATATGCATTGAAACATGATTTCAATTGTGTAGTGATTTTGAAATGTTTTTGGTAAAAAATCCTAAAATGAATATATCCTAAAATGATTATATATATATATATATATATATATATATATATATATATATTTGTTTGTGGTGAAAACTTATTACATGGAACCTTAAAGTGGTCTGCTTTTTCAAACATATTCGCCCTGAATTTACATTGAGCTCTCTGGATATCATCCTCCTTGGGTCTACCCATATGGATTACCCTGTTTTGCATAAACTAAATAACTAACTAACTAACTATATATATATATATATATATATATATACAATTTTACGATATTACACCAAAAACAGCAAAATTTTCCAATTGTTAAATTAAGCTTTGAACCATTAGAAATGATTAAATATATCTTACCGGAATACTCCAAGATTTTTCAGTGATTCTTATGACAAGTGGTGTCAAGATGGCTAAATGTCTTATCTAAACACCTGGAAAAAAGAAACTCTATTACTTTAGTGGGTTTTTTAGATATTGAACATTTTGTGGGATAGACAATTATCCCATGCTGGTACACAATTTGGACAATTTTGCTGTTATGCCCAGTGTAATGATAGAGTCATTGATATGCACTTTAATTTTAGGTATATAAAAGAGAAGGTATATAAAAGTTTTTGTTATATTTTATTTTTTTATTTATTGGATTCTACTTTGAACAATAAGAATGTATTTAGCTCTAAGTTAAAATGATGACCCCCTCTTTCTGTTGTGACTTTCTGATCCAGTTTTCCTCTCTAGTGTTCCCTCTTTTTTAAAACTTATTCACCATTCTCTTGATAGTCCTTGAATGGACTTTGAAGATGGGAGACAGAGTATGAATGTTGGTACCATTACTGAAGGCCTGAGTGATCTTTTTCCTCTCACCAATGATCAGTTGGGAAGACATTGTGGAGCTGACACAAAATGATTTTAACCTGTTCTCTTTCTAGGTGAATAACTTGATGGGTTTTTCATTGATTCTTATGACAAATAGTGTCAAGATGGCTAAATGTCTTATCTGAAAACTTGTTAGATTAAGATTTGAATCACTGTATCTTAGAAATGATTAAAATATCTTACTGGAATTTGCCAAAGTTTTTATAACTCTATCAGACTCTACTTTGAGCAATAAGAATGTATAATTACTCTCTAAGCTTATGAAACATAATAATAATAATAATAATATATATTTTGTACTGTAATGTTAGTGGTTTAGTCCATTTATTTATGGTGAGGGAGGGAGGTTAATGAAACATAATAATAATAATAATAATAATATATATTTCTGTTGTAAAGTAGTTTTCACAGTGGAGGCTTGTATTTCAATAAGTTGGTCCTAAATTAGGTTCGACGTACAAAACGTTAGGAACTTGAAATAAGAATTAATGACGCAGCAATCTAGTTGTGATGGTTGATACTTCAATGTCCGACATCGACTGACTCACACAACTCACTCTGCTTCCCCGGCAACTGCTACTACTACTACTTATTATCTGTGGGAGAGTCTATTTACAATAGAAATAGGTACGTTCCGGTATAACATCTTAACAGAAGTATTATGATGAAATCGATCATAAAGGAAAATTACATGTTCATCATTAATTAATCATAGCTGAGGATCAGAAGCTCATGAAGTATTGAAATAATATTCAAATATATATTTATTATTCCAGGATCATTTTCCAATTTATTCAAGATGATCTTTTCCCTCTCTAACCTTCTAACTTTCTATCCTGGAGTAACAAGGTGCCTCACAGGTTTCACTTACAATTTTATTTTAAAGTTTTGTTTTTTTTCACTGCTTTTTGGATGTCACTCTTCTCTCACATGCCTAACATCTTATGGATTGAGTTGGCTCTTTTCTAAATGATCTCTTTAGCTCTAGGTTGAAATGATGATCCCTCTTGCTGTTGTGACCTCCTAATCTAGTTTTCCTCACTACTTTTTGCTCTTTTGTTAAACTTATTCACCATTCTCTTGATGGTTCTTGAATAGGCTTTGAAGATGAAAGCCAGAGTATGAATGTTGATACCATTAATGAAGGCCTGAATGATCTTTTTCCTCTCACCAATGCTCACAATGAATACATAGTGGGGCTGAGACAAAATGATTTTAACATTGCTAAATGTCTTATCTGAAAACTTGGAAAAAAGAAACTCAATTAATTTTGTGGGTTTTTTTTCAAATATGAAATATTTTGTAGGATTGACAATTATCCCATGCTGTTACACGATTTGGACAATTTTGATGTTATGCCTGGTATAATGATATCGTCATTAATATGTACTTTAATTCTAGGTATATAAAAATTGCTATGGGTCAAAAGAGAAGCCAGTTATTGTGAAGTTATTGAGTGGCAGAAAGATAATTTTGGAAATTGTGAAAGTGTTGAACAGAGACCAAACAACATTTGAAAAAGAAACACTGTATATTGGCAACATAAGAATAACTGAAAAGCTTGTTTTAATAATGTTAAAAAACGAGATCTGTAAAAAATTTGAAGATTAATAAGTAAGAAAATTGATTGTCGGTCGAGTTTTTAATGATGTATCAACCTATATGGGTTATTTAATAACGAAATCTAAATATTTTGTACGTAATTTTATGCTTTCAACTACAGATATTTTTAGATAATGTTATACTTTCAGAGTAAAGGTATGTCTTTTATATATATATTATTGTTGTGGTACGATACACCTAATTTACATAAGTGGAGTACCGACCATATAAATATGGGTTGGTACCGGAAGACGGGAGAAAGTAAGAAGAGATCGAATCGAGAGACTCTGCCCGACTGCGATTTAGTCAACGCATTCTGCAGGAACAGCCTTCCCAAGAATATACCAAAACTAACTGTAAATATTATGTACCTTTTCTTTGTTTCGATACATTTTGTTTACGTACATTTTGTGTTGTATTATTATTATTCCATGCTTATCCAAGTTTCAACAATTATATAGGTCATTGGTTAATTTTGGTTGATTTTGTCTCTATGGGCTATTTAATATCAAAATATTTTGTATGTAATTTTATACTTTCAACTACAAATATTTTTACATAATTTTATACTTTCAGGGTAAAGGTATGTTTTTTTTAGATATATAGTTTATAGATCATAAAATCTATTGTTGGTAATTTTAGTATAAGAATGTATTTTTATATTTTTTTAGTGTTGCGTTGATTAATCATTTTGCTATAAAAATGTATCGTTGCTCATTTTATTATAATAGCATTGATGGAGAACATTCTCCATAATGAAAATCAGATTCAAGTGTTCATCAAAATTTATTCACATCAAAACCTGCAGTATTGTAAATGCTTCTCCTTAGATTTGATAGAGCAACCAGTCTAGGAGAAGGAAAATACTGAATTCAAAACCATTAAAAAATATGGCAAACTGTGCTCTTTAGATTTGATAGGGCAACCAGTCTAGGAGAAGGAAAACCCTGAATACAAAACCATTAAAAAATATGGCAAACTGCGCTCTTTAGATTTGATAGGGCAACCAGTCTAGAAGAAGGAAAATACTGAATTCAAAACCATTAAAATATGGCAAACTGCGCTCTTTAGATTTGATAGGGCAACCAGTATAGGAGAAGGAAAACCCTGAATTCAAAACCTTTAAAAAATATGGCAAACTGTGCTCTTTAGATTTGATAGGGCAACTAGTCTAGGAGAAGAAAAATACTGAATACAAAACCAGCCTGAAAGGGTTGAGCTTTCTCAGGCAATCTTGTAAAAGATGTACACTCTGCCTAGTAATCCAGGTGACCCCATTGGGTTATATGACTTGTGATTTTGATCATAGGCCATCCCACTTTTGATGCCATGTCATGGTTTGCTGGGTTCTATTGAGAAACAACATGGCACAGGGAGACATAATGAAAAATAATGAGTTGTTTTTAGAATGCATTCACAGAAGATTGTCATAAATAGATTAGATATATCCATGAGTTTTTCTTTAGATTAGTTAGTCATTTATTATCTTCTGACAGCTTTTTTTCTGCCTGCCTGTTTCTTTCTTTCTCTCTCTCTCTCTCTCTTTCTCTCTCTCTCTCTCTCTCTCTCTCAGGGCACTTGTTCAAATTTAAGGGAAGTTGGTCAGGCCGATAAGTTTTTTGTGTATGTTTATGTAGTATCTCGTGTTTTCAAGATAACAGAGGGAAATAAATAAGGTAGAAAAGCCTGTAGGTAAGTAATAAAATAGAATGTTCACTACACGAAAGTACACTTAGCAATTGACCTAATGCTAACTTAGTATTTATCCGAGCTATCCACAGAGCAGGATGTGGCACAAGGATGTGAAACAACTGGATACTGCAGGAGGATTTTCTTACAGCCCTATCTGGACGGAGGAAAAGATTGACGTTTGTTGCACAGGTGTGCATAAGGACAGGTATATTTTTCATCCTTCCTAAAGTTGACGCCTCGATAAAATTGCCTAGCCTTCTGTACTGCAATCAGGTTAATAGAAGTAGATAGGCCCACTTATCGTTCAGGCTGCACTCCTTCCATGTCTATTGAATAACAGCAGATGATTATCCTTGTTCTCTGTTTAGAATATGGTTTACCGGTTCTTTCTTCTGTGGCTGTGACTTTCCATTATGACGGTACCAGGTTGGTAGTTTTCTGGTTGCTGCTTCTGACTGTGTTGTATTTCGTGTTTTCAAGATAACAGAGGGAAATAAATAAGGAAGACAAACTCGTAGGTAAGTAATGAAATAGAAGGTTTACTACACGAAAGTACCATTAGCAATTTACCCGAGCTCCCCACAGTGGTTCGGGCAGAGAGTTGGGCAACCACTAAGAGATCAGTACGGGGTTAAGACCTAATGCTGACCCGGTATTTACCTGAGCTCCCCACAGAACGGGATGTAGCACAAGGCTGGTTTAACGTAGGTTTTTCCGAGCCCGTAGGCCCGGGCAAATATTCCCCGTAGACTCCGTAATAAGGGGGTCGGTTTTGTCTACCCGCCACCCAAACGAAACTCTACCCTTCGGCATAGCCTCATCTACGTTCCTCTCTGCCTTCGGGTAGAGAGTTCGGCAAGCACTAAGAGCTTTGCACGCGGTTAGGACCTAATGCTGACCTGGTATTTACCCGAGCTCTCCACAAGGCCGGTTTAACGTGTTTTTTTCCGAGTCCGTAGGCCCGGGCAAAAATTCCCCGTAGATTCCAATATAATGCGGTTAGGTTTGTCTACCTCCCCAGATGACACACTACCTTTCGGCATGGCCTCATCTGGGTCCCTCTTTGCTCGGAGGCAGACAGTCGACAAACAAGATTACCTATTGCTAACTCTGCTCAACTCCGCCTAACTCTGCTTATTTACATAAACAGACGATTCCATTCATTTATGTCCTACATGACAGTTTACGTAACAGTTTCTGGTTGATTCCAGCATTCACAAGTTAGGGTGTCGTATATTGAAAAGCATATAAAAAAATATACATAAAAATTCCACTTTGACCATTTAAATGACGTCACCTTGAGTGACTTGAAATTTGTTCCAGCAAAGGTGAGAATTCCAGAATTAACCAGAAACACTTAAATATATACAAAACATAATACTTGAGAACAAATGTAGCAACATTCAAAAGTACTTTGAAAAAAAATAAAATAAAAATATGAACTTTGGTAAATCTACTGATTACATAAAACAACTAATTCGGAAATTTTTAGAAGTTAATAAAAAATTGGATAGACAGTACTTGTCGATGTTATTCAACCAAACAGGTTTGAAATATATACAGAGTGGTGCAAAAGTAGGTGGACAGCAAATGATAAAATTTGTTTGAGGTTACATATACAATTATATTTACTAATACAATTATCTGAAAAAACATTTAGATAAATTTAGTTATAAAATTATCAATAATACAGCACAAATAGCATAGTTATAATGAACACCATTGTAATGATATTACCAATACACTAACTTATTTCACCTACTGTCCACCTACTTTTGGTCCACTCTGTGTATATATATATATATATATATATATGTTATTTAATTTTAGTTTTGTATTTTATTTAGTTTTATTTTCATTTCACATTTATTTCTTCACACAACCCCAATTTAATGTCACAAGGTCAATATCCGAGTTAATTTTATAAAACCTCTTCCCTTTAAGGCTTATACCTTCAACCCTCCCCTTGTCACTGATCTGAGTGTCTTGTCTGACTGAAGCATCGAAATGGATAAAGTCTGTATCAATTTTTCAACTGCTGTCAAGGCAAAATCTAAAATATCTAGTTCCAGTACAAAGAGTCAGTACACTGGGATTGAATAAGACTAACGTAATTTTCATTTTCGCCATTTTATATCATTATCTTTACTAATCTACTTTTTCATAAATGATTCATTGTAATATATATATATATATATATATATATATATATATATATATATTGCAATATTGTTGTGCAATATATATATATATATATATATGTATATATATATGTGTGTGTGTGTGTTTATATATATTAATAAATACGCATATAGCTATGTTTGTAGTGCAACTTAAAGTTTCATGGTTTCACAATTAGTCAGGCATATATGGTGATTGAACCATTTATTACAGTTGTTTTTTTAAAAATACTGAGTTTCATGGGAGAAATGCCAAATTATACTCAGATTCAAAGCTCAAAGTTAATTTTTTTTAAGCATTTCATCCCAAGCTAGTTGCCTTAACTGATTAAGCCACAGAGGTTCGTTCGATTTTACTGCTTTTAAACAACAATATTGCATCTTCTTGCTAATCGGACGATCCTCTGTGGCTCAATAAGTTAAGGCACATCAGGCTATATGACAGTTCCGTATAGGATACAGGTTCGGTTCCTGTTGGAGGAAGAATATTTTCTATGAAAATTTCTCGGACATATAGGCTGGTAAATGTTATTAATACTGTTTATTATAAACAGAGCATTTACTTAAATATTTGTATCTATAAAAAGAATGTATAAACATAAAATGTCTTAAACTATATATATATACATATATATATGTGTGTGTGTGAGTGTGTGTGTGTTTGTGTGCATGTGTGTATGTGTATTTAGGCAGCAATCATTCTTTCATGCACATTTCATTGAATACTACAGACAACGTGCTTTGATTAAATTTTTTATACAATTTCTCATGCGTTCTAATATTTTTTTTCCTTTGAGGTGATAAATTACATAAAAACTGTCCGAATGTTCTTTTTTATTCGAGCGCTTTCGGCTATACATTTAGCCATTTTCAATGAGTAAATATTTTAACTGTTAAATATCTTGATAAATATCTTGAAAAATGAAAACATTATATATATATATATATATATATATATATATATATATATATTTTAACTGTTCAATAAAAATAGTTTACTGCATGTATATATATATATATATATATATATATATATATATATATACATGCAGTAAACTATTTCTTATTGAACAGTTAAAATATTTAATCCTTGAAAATGGCTAAATGTATAGCCAAAAACGCTCAGATGAAAAGAACAAAGAAGTTTTTATATAATTTATCATATGAAAAGAAAAAAAAATTATTAGATTGCATGAGAAATTGTATAAAAGACTAAATAAAAGCACCTTGTCTATAGTATTCAATGAAATGTGCATATATATATATATATATATATATATATATATGCATGTTATTTGGATCTAGAATCTGAACAAAGTGGGAAAGCTTTTTAATAACAGCGTCCTTTCATTAGGTTGTCAGCAGTGCCGGATTTACTTCAAAATCTAGGGGGCCTCCAGCCAAGGTGTATAATAATTTTGACAGTGTCATAGGCCTTTCTTACACACGCTGTTATAATGTATTGTAGACTCTAATTAACCCTCCAGTAATTTTAAACACCTGTCATCGTCCTCGACATTACGCAAATTGTTTAACACTCTTCCATTTTCCTCTACCCATGAGAATGGGTGATTTGTGGGTGGGGTTCACAAGTGGAATAGCCTAGGGCATCTCTTCTAGCCCTGGTCTCAACAGACTTGACAGAATTTGCCACATCTAATATATGCATCATAAAAAGTGTCGTTGTCTTGTTAGGGCCAGAAATGAAATCACAAAGAGAGGAATTGAGTTAAACAAATATATTAACAGAAACAGGAATACAAACATATCCAAACAAGAATGTTACAGCAAGAATGTTCGGTCCGACTGTCAGAGCTGACTGCTGGAAACTTCCCTCTTCAAAAGGCAGTACCTGCTTCTATTTATAGCTGGGAGAGTCCATGTGTTGGGTACGTAAAATACCTTAACAAAAAGTGAGCAATATTTAGTTTAGATAGAGAGCAATATGATTCGGTCTTTGATATACTCTATTTAAACTAAGGTATACACGAGAAATGTGCTGTTGATAGACCGTTGTGGAGCAGACTCAATATGGCTTCTAAATTCAGATCCCCCTACAATTACAAAATTTAAACGGATGATGATGATGATGATGATATATGGCAAGAGGCAATTTCTGAGGGACTTAACTTGGATTGAACCTGTTACCAATCAATTGTGAGATCAGAAAACAAAGATGAGGCTTGGTAAATTCTTTTTGAAAGTAAGACAGAGCAGTCGTGTATTTTGGACTTGTGGTCCAAGCGGTGCCAAATTTGCCTGTAGGCTTAGGAGGCTAAAGCCCAGGACCTCAAAATGTATTTTCTTCTACTTGTGAGAATGGAGGATTTGGAGAAGTCTCACAAATGGAATAGCCTAAGGCCTGTCTTCATCTAAATCCGACCCTAGTTGTCAGGTAGGTGCCTTCAGGTCAGAATGAAAGACAAATCTGTGTGTGTGAGTTATTTTGTTTATTGGAAAAAAATGTATGACAGGATGAACAAAATGTATGGCAAACTAGACAAAATGCGTGGCAAAGTGGACAAAATGTATGGCAATATGGACAAAATGTATGGCAATATGGACAAAATGTATGGCTAAGTGGACAAAATGTATGGCAATATGGACAAAATGTATGGCAAAGTGGACAAAATGTATGCAAAAATAAAAATCTATGACAAAGTGAAAAATGTATGACAAAGTTGGAAAATGTATTTGGAAAGTGAAAAAAACGTATGGCGAAGTGAACA